CTTTTTTGGGTTATCCTAGGTTCTCTAAACATATGTTGCTATGTATGATAATTCTATGTAACTGTATTAGTGTATACCTGAATTAACTTACTTACTTAGTAATTCACGGAGTGGAGAGGGGTCGAACCTATGGAGAGCGAATGTTGAAACCAGCACTCCACTGATCTAACCAACTACACCATGCTAGCCTAAGACGACTCGTCCAATTAGATATATTTCTATACACATTAAAGAGGTTAGCATGGGCAGACATGTGACCACCCTAACGCATTTTCACGCGTTTTCACAGACAAATCTGACACCGACATTTTGTGGCAAGATCTAGTTCAAGTCCCCTCAAAGCTGTTATCAGTGACAGGCTAGGTGATAGGAGTAAGAACTAGGTGAAGGGGAATGGCAGGGGTGAAGTCTAGGAGAGGTTCAACCTGGGTACATACACAGGTGAAGGTGACTGAGTGTGGGTGTCACCTAAATTATTACTGCCGTCCGCACCAACGACACATAGAATGTCTAATTGTCGGAAATTTTGGCAAATTTACTGGAAAATAATTAGATAAAACTGGATAATGCTTTAGTAATTATGAAACTGTGTACTTTCTCTTATATGTAATGGAAAGCAAGAAATAGAGGAGGTAAGTGAAAGATTGATGTGCAGACATAGCAAGAAGAGAGAAAGAGAAAGAGAGATTGATAGACACCGTCGAAGAAAAGTCAGGTGATGGACATCATAAAGATGGCAGAGCCTTCAGCTCACAACAGAAATACCTGTGAGAAATGATATTGTGATACCGACAAGATGTGGAAAAGGACACTTATGTACTTACCTACTTAGGACTGAAGAAGCCATTCGTGGCGAAACGTTTTCTTTCATAAATGTCCTAAACTGTACGTAAGTGTCTTTTTACATAGAAATACCAGTGTTGGATGCTAGGACAGGTGGAGACGTTGGACATGTTTCCTTACACCTGTTTCCCATGTTCACCTAACATTAAGTATATACCTGAGTGTCACCTGACTGATGTGAGTACATAGCATCTTAGTGGCTGGAGCAAGCCACATATAACCCGCACTCAGGACACTTATGACGACGTTTCGGTCCGTCCTGAACAATGGTCCAAAACGGACTTTCGGGTTAGACTAGTTAATGGTCCAAGTCGGACCGAAATGTCGTCATAAGTTTCCTTCTCCTATGTGCAGGTTATTTTTTTATTGTGTGCCGTGATAAATTTCCTCCACCAAGTGCGGATTATTTGCAATTAGCAAAATATATTAAGATAGAAGCATACATATTTTACAAGCTCCTCGCTGTACGTATATCATGTCTGGTATAGTAGTGATTGTATTGAAATTTCTTTCCCCAGTTCAATTCTCCGACCTCTCAAGGAAGGTTCCTTAACGCTGGTGAGGGGCTCTTGATCTAGGGAATTGGATCCGTGTTCCAGTTCCCCGAATTAAGCCTGAATAACTTCCACATCTTCCCCCACAGGCGCTGTATAATCCTACGGGTTTAGCGCTTCCCTCTTGATTATAATAATAATAATTCTCCGAAATTCATGAGTTATGAACATCTGTTACGACTTTAGGGGAGAATAGCTACACTCTGCACTCTAGACGTAGTCCAGTTTACCTGGAGAGAGTTCCGGGGGTCAACGCCCCCGCGGCCCGGTCTATGACCAGGCCTCCTGGTGGATCAGAGCCTGATCAACCAGGCTGTTACTGTTGGCTGCACGCAATCCAACGTACCAGCCGCAGCCCGGCTGGTCAGGTACCTGATAAGATTTGCTAGTATTTTTAACCAGGAGGGTTAGCCACCCAGGCTAACCCAAGAAAGTCAGTGCGTCATCGAGGAATGTCTGTCTTATTTCCCTTGGCCTGGTAGACAATGTTCTCGCTTTAGTGTCCGAGGGTCGATCCCGGTACGGATGGAAACATTAGGACGTGTTTCCTTAAGACACCTGCTGTCCCTGTTCACCAATCAGTAATATAGGTACCTGAGTGTTAGTCAACTGGTGTGTATAGCATCTTGGGGATAAAATTGTCCTAATCTGACCGAAATGCTTTGCATAAAAAGGGGCTTCCTATATAGCGGTATGTCATCGATGTTAGCCAGATCTGTATACCTTCTACATGTACTTGTAGAAGTTAAGATTATTATTATTATTGAGTCCTTCAATTTGTCCCCCAGGATGCGGCCCATACCAGTCAACTAACACCCAGATACCTACTAACTGCTAGGAGAACAGGGACAGCAGGTGTCTTAAGGAAACATACCCAATGTATCCATCCGTGCCGGGAATTGAACTACGGGAACTCTGTGTGTGAGGCGAGTGTTCTGCAAATCGAGCCATGCGAAACTTTTGCTCCCTTTCTATTCTCGAAGAGAACTTCTGTTCCCTTCCCAGCTGTGGGCACTATTCCTTCCCCAGAAAATGGGAAGCAGGGTACAATACAGTGTAAGTTGTGGTGGCTCTGACATCAATAGTTGTACAAGTCTCGTGGGTACTTCTGTACCAACCTTGGTGATGTGTGGATGTCTCGCGTAAGTATTAACACATTAAAGACCGGGGCGCTAAATTAGACTCTTTTCCTAAGTTGGTCATGCTGACAAAATGTTGAAATAAGTAATATTGTAATAAAAAATGAAGTACGAGTATGTTCACTTACATTTATGAGGTCAGTCCCACAGGATTCCTACCTTTATTTTGAGGCTATTCACCACTTTATTTATAGTGTTTGCATATACTGTATAATCTATATTGATATTTATGAAAAAAAATCAAGTTTGATCGCCTCCAGTTATTATCATGGGAGCGCTAAAGCCGTAGGGATTATACAGCGCTTGTAAGGAAGGAGGGGGGAATGTGGAAGGCATTCAGGCTCAATTCCGGTAACTGTAGTACATCCAATTCCCTAGATCAAGAGCCCCTCACCAGTATCAAGGAACCTCCCTTGAGGGGGGGTCGCCTTCAGTAAATAATAGCGGGGGTCAGTTTCCCCCTGCAGCAGCACACAGGAGCCTCCAGGGCTGGAATGCTGTAGAAGAGACCAACCTTACTGATACATTCCTAATGTGCAAAGAATGTATGTTTGCTCATTAATAAACATTTCAAGTTAAGTGACAGGAATGAAAAAAATAATTTATACATTATTCTTAGTTATACAGTTTGCCATTAATTGCAATTATTACCCCTATTCAAGATATACATCCCTCTCAAGGAAGGTTCCTTGATGTATATTAGTTCATTATAGTAGATGGGAATCCCTCCAATTTCATCAGGCCTGCAGTTATGAATGTATAAACCAATTAGAGGTACACAGTATATCTAATGGTTATAACTATAATTTTTAAAGGGGGTGAATCGGTAAGCCAGTGGAAGGCCTCGGTCAGATAACCAAAAGCTCCAGCTGCAGGTCATCATATGACTAAAGACCTGTGTCAGGAAACACTTGCCCTGTTTCCTGACAAACCTTACCTAACCTAATGGCTGTGTGCCCAGGTAAGGTAAAGATTCTTATTATGTAATGTTTAAGCCAGGCTTCATTAAAAATAATAAAAAAAAATGTTAGCATTTAAAGAATCTAGGATTGCTAGGTCATCATAGTCATCATTCAGGTATCTAATGTTGTACTGAATATTGCTATATTCTTGGTGATGCTGAGAACAGTTTTTACATGACTGTGAAGGCAATAATTTTTAGAGCAGTATTGATTACCCTTTTAATACGATAGATTTAAATTGGGGTCAGTATCAGCATTCATGAACAGAGGTAGGATTAGGAAAGTGAAGACTGAGGTAGGGATATCAGTAGTTAACACTATTGATATGAGCAGTGGAGTGAGAAAAGAATAACGTAATTAGCTGGTATGACTACTATTAACAAAACAAAATTAGTATGAAAGTAAAGACAATGTACAGAGTACAAGTCAATGATAAAGTAACTTGTAACAAAATAAGATAAGATATAATTTATGCATATATAAATAATGTAGTAAAATTACACAATGAATTAATAAATGGAATAGTATAATAAAATAAAAGAATTTATCTATAACAAACAAAAGAGAAAGAAGCACAGATAATAGAAGTTGGTGTATGGGTGTAAAAAGTACTTCCCATCTATAGAAGTGCAACATCACCTATCCTTCAGGTGAAAGCACTCTGCTTCCCACCTTAAAATCCAGTTATCCAGTTTCCTGAATCAGCCATTAAGACCACTTTGATATAATGTGCTCATACCAACCTGTTGGATGTTAAAGCCCCAGCTTTCAAAACCTTCATTAACCCCTGCCTCTGACCTTTTCTGGGATGTCCCCAATCCCTTCTCTGCACCCTAGATATCCTGTTTTCCTACATCCTCTCTACTGTCCAAACACCTCTATCACCCATCCTTGGCCCTTGGAACTGTATGTTGGCTACTCCATACTCAGTCTCAAAGTTCTAAATTCTCACCACACATTGCCTTCAGAACACCTCCACAGCCTCCAACCTCCTCGCTTCAGCATTTAAAATCTCCTTAGAAAAAAGTGATGAAAAATGCCACAAAAGTCAGTTATAAGACTTGATGGTGACTACACTTACTATGTACTGAGTTATCATTTGGCAATTTGCATGCATCGTCTTTTAATCGGGGAGTGATAATTCTGTAGGAATCACACAACACCTGGGAAATGGGAGGCATTCAGGTTCACTCCAAGGAAATGACAAGTCCAGTTCCTTGGATCAAGAGTCCCTCACCAGCACCAAGGTACCTCTGAAGGTTACATGTAAATATGAAGATACTTTTTAATTAGTAGGAAACAGATTTGCACATACCAATAAGCGCTCAATATTGTCGTGTTAATAATATTTATGAGGAAGTGCCAGAAATACAGTAACTGACCATGCATAATCCAGAGCAATTTCCATCCATGCAATTTTTTTCTGCCGGTTATAAGTGTTCAAATGTATTTAAATGTGGGGGTAACATTTTGAAAGTGTAAAGGCTTTATAAAGGTTTAAAAAAATTTTAAGAATTTATTATTAAAATAAATAATATTAATCTTTAATTGAAACATTTTTAATAAATCAGAAAAAAATTAATTCATTATACAAAATACTAAACTATAAATAAAGGGCTAATGTAAAAAACAAATATGTATAAGTAGGAAATATTGGGAGTGTGTCATGTTTTATTTTTTGCCAGTTGAATTCATAATTAGTTTAGTTTTTCTGAAATTAGTTTTATATTTATCCATTATTTTGACATAACTAGTTATGTCAGGAATATAAGATCTCATGGGTCAAGTTTAGCTTTTCCATAACTTCAAAAGTGCATACAGATTGGAAAGAGCACAGCACCAGAGTATTCCGAAATATTTCAATGATTTTAGATTTTGTTGAAAGCAGCAATGTCAACAGACTGTACTGTATCCTCAAAGTCACATATCCTTTCAATAAGATCATCAACAGAGACTTTTTCATCTTCAACAGTGCACAAAATTGATAATTTGTTAATGCCAAATGCTAGAGGAGCCAGTTTACTGGCACCCCATTGAAGACCATCCATCCTAATTGAGCGCACAAGTTCCTCCATTGTTATCATGTCTGTCTCATCATCCCATGGTTTCACATCTAGCATTATAGAAGATTTAGCAATAGGTCCAGGCTTCTTTGACTTTTTCTCAGCATAAGCCTTCAATCGTTCATCACGAAGTTTTGCCACTTCATCATCATCATCAATCAGAACCAAACAAATCAAATTCATCATCATTATCCATTTGTGATCCATCACTCATCTCTTCTGCCATCTCTCTCTCTTTTAGGAATGTATCACTTTCATTTACAACTTTAACATCATGCAGTTTAGCATTTTGTAAGAAATCAGATGTTGCTGCAAGACTTTCTCCTAATGTTAACTTGAGCTCAATATTCAAGGATCGTATGTGGTTGTACCACCTAAGAGCATGAGAAAAGTTATCCTCAGGGGCCTTAACCAAAGAAGAAAACACTTCAGCATCTATTTGTGAAGGGGTGAAGCCACGGATGTAACTACGATCTTGCAGGAAGTCATTCAAAATCTCTAGTCCACATGCTGTAGTCACGTCACCAAAAAACTCCATTAATCTGAAAAATTTTTACAATCAACAATGGCACTGTAAATATACCTGTACTAATGTAGCACAATTTTGTCTGCTTCTCCATTTTTTTTTTTTTTAATTTTAGCATTTGCCAAGGAATTAGCTAGTTAATTTCAGATGTCAACTTTCAGGGTCAGAAACTGACAAGTAATGAAAGTAGCAAGAATTAAAGATTGCTTTTGGCGCTTCTTCGTGAAAATAATAGGAAACCTAAAATAAAAGAAAAAAAAAAGTCAATTAACAAAAATTAACAGCCTTGATAGGATATTCCACTGCAAGCACATTAATGAGAATCCACTCAATAACAGGTTGCACCGGTAACAATTATTAGGCATCCCTCAAATGAAGGTGTTAGCTAGCCTTTGGCCAAGGAGGATGGATTGAAAAATTCCTTTTTGAAATTTAAGATTTCTCTCACATTTTGTGTTGCATTTTAGATTATAAATACTCTTCAGAAATTGCAATACTGTTACTGGAACAATTCACAGACAATTCACATTTCAGTCCATCATGGACCATTGTTAAGGTACAGCTAAACTAGAAAAAGAGAAGACCAGAAGAAATGTCAGGAGTGGGAAGAAAGGAGAGGTGTGGTAGTGGTTGTAACAGAAGAAATAGCAGCAGCAACAGTAGTGGTAGTAATGCTAGTAGTAGTGCTAGTTAGCGGTAGAAATAGATAGTAGTGAAATTACGTATTAGTAATAGTAGTAGTGCAAAAACAAAACAAACACTGCTGGAGACCTACTGGTCCACGCTGGGCAGGACTGGTGATAACAGTAATGAGCGTAAATTATAACAATGTAATAGTGGTCTAAATAACTAGATAATAACACTGTCCCCAAGGGGCAGATAAGCACTGCAGTATGCCTACTGGCCTCTGCTAGGAAAGAAAAAGAACAGAAGCTGAGTTAGAAGAAAGGAAAGGCAAAGGAGAGGAGTCAGAGGTTAGGTCATCACAAATATTCTGAAGCTAAGAGCATTTGACAATATTGTATAATGAGAAAGGTTAGCATCTACAGAAACAAAGCTGGGACTAGGAATGTTGTGCATAAGGGTCGATTCAACATGACTGCTACTGTGAAAGCAGAAAGGACCATCTAATAGGATGGCTGTCCCTCAAGAATGACAAAAAAGAGCAATGTTAGTGTTGGCAAGGTTAACACTGTGGCTCTTCAAGTCTTGATAGAGATCAACTAGTTTCACTGAAGTATTAAGAGAACAGAAAAGAGTCGACACTAAAAGCATCAGTAATAGGAGAAATATGAACAAGATTATTATGAAGGAAAATAGTTTGATGAGAAGCAGTTTGATATCTAAAGGATGGAGGATGTTAAAATTTTCAAAACTGGAAATTTAAGGAAAGCAGAGAACAGTTTTCAAAGGAGTTTGGTAATTCAGTCAATTTAGCATAAGATTAAGCAGTTAACAAAATTAGGATTTTAGATAAAACTGGAAGTTTAAATTATTATTATTATTGTAATCAAAACAAAGTGCTAAACCTACTAGGGTCATACAGCACCGCAGAGCAGAGGGTTTTGCTGGATCAAGGAGCAGCTAGGGTGGAGAGAACAGAAGTAGAAATATAAAGGGACCGTGACTGGGAGTCAAAGTCAAAGGCAGGTCCGTCGGCAAGGAAGGAAGATAAAGTAAGGGCATCAGAGTGTTGACAACATCGGAGGTAAATTCTTTGTGGTCGTTGATAGACTGAACAGTCCAGTAGAATATGGCCAACCAAAATTGGAGCTTGACAATTCTAACAGAGTGGAAAAGGGCGCCTCTCCATGAGATATCCATGAGTAAGCTGAGTGTGCCCAATGTGAAGACAGGAGAGCATAGTCCCCCAACCTCAACATCGATGACAAGAAAATGGCCAGAAACCTAAACTTGGTTTGATAGACTGTAATTTGTTACATGTCATATCAGACCAACATTGTTGCCAACGGTTGCAAAGGTGGTCAGATTACAGCAAAATAGTCTGTGAATGGAACACCTCTATATGAAACTGGGAGGTCATGTACTGCTGACTTCACAGCAGTGTCTGCTTGTTTATTGCCCTGAATATCAACATGACCAGAGACCCAACAGAAAAAATATTTGTTTTTGCTAGAAATGTGGCATAACCAAAGGTGTATATGAAGAACCAGGGGATGAGGTGAATCAAATTTTTTAATAGCTTGCAAAGCACTAAAGAAGTCCTAGACTATTACAAATGGTGACACAGGCATAGATGCAATACAGATAACTGCTACAAGAATTGCATACAATTCAGATGTAAAAATGCTAGCCGAGTCTAATTATTATTATAATAAAAAAAGCACTAAGCCACAAGGGCTATACAGTGCTGCAGGGTAGGGAAGGAAGCGAGGGTATTGGGCGGCAGAAGGGGGGAGGGATGATCAGTAGGTTACAGAAAACAGCGGGGCAGGGGATAGTGCGGGGGTAGAGGGCAGCAAGAGATTGAGGTACAAAGGGCTGAAGGTATCATCAGAGTTTGCGAAGTAAGTCAGTTGTTGTCAAAAAGTCAATGAGATAGTCTGGATGAAAGGTGGGTCCATCAGCAAGAAGGGAAGGTAAAGAGAGAGCAGCGGAGCGAAGACGATGGAGGTATATTCTGCGTGCTCATTGATAAAGTGGGCAGTCTAATAGAATGTGGCTAACCGATAATGGAACCTGACAATTCTCACAGAGAGGAGCAGGGCACCTCTCCATGAGATAACCATGAGTAAGACGAGTATGGCCAATGCAAAGACGGGAGAGAGTAGTCTCCCAACCTCGACACTGATGACAAGAAGACGGCCAGTAACCTATACTCGGTTTAATAGATTGAAGTTTGTTACCGAGCAGAGTAGACCAACGTTGTTGCCAACGGGTGTGAAGGTGGGTAGCTATTGCAGCAAAATAGTCCGTAAATGGAACACCTCTATATGAAACTGGTAGGTCATGTACTGCTGACCGCGCAGCAGTGTCTACCTGTTCATTGCCCTGTACGTCAACATGACCAGGGACCCAACAAAAAACAATATCTTTATGCCTGGAAGAGATGCGGCGTAGCCAAAGTTGGATACGGAGGACTAAGGGGTGAGGTGTATCAAATTTCTGTATAGCCTGTAGAGCACTAAGGGAGTCTGAGACAACCACAAATGATGACACAGGCATAGATGTAATACGGATAAGTGCTGCAAGAATGGCATACAATTCAGCAGTAAAGATACTAGCCGAAGATAGTAAGTGCCCTCATATGACGCTGTCCGGAAACACTGCTGCGAATCCTACACCGTCAGAAGACTTAGACCCATCTGTGTACACTGCAATGGCATGAGAATGAGAGTGGAAGTGGACAAGAAAAAGAGAGCGGGAAGCTACCATAGACAGTTGGGCTTTCGAGCAAGGGAGTGAGAAAGAACAGACTCAAACAGCTGGAACTTCCCAGGGGGGTAGGGAAAAGTGAGATGCAACATGAACATAGAAAGGTGGTAATTGAAAATAAGACAAGAGCGAATGTAGGCGAAGGGAGAAGGGAAGGAGCAAACAGGGGTGGCGAACAAATAAAGAATGTCTACTAATATCGGTGACCATTCTATAAATGGAAGGATTGCAGAGATGAGAGCGTACATAGTAGCGAAGGCAATGGGCATCACGGCGATCGGATAAGGATGGAACGTTCGCTTCTGCATAGAGGCTCTCAACAGGGGAAGAGCGAAAAGCACCAAGGCATAAACGTAATCCTTGGTGATGAATGGGGTTAAGGCTAGAGAGAGTAGCAGGAGAGGCCGCTGAATAGATCTGGTCACCATAGTCAAGTTTCGATAAAATGAGGGCGGAATGTAGGCAAAGGAGAGTGCGACGATCGGCTCCCCATGAAAGATGAGCAAGGGTTTTAAGAAGGTTCAGCCGGCTGTGACAAGTTGCCTTCAGAGAGGTTATGCGAGGTTTCCAGGATAACCTACGGTCAAAGAGGAGGCCTAGAAACCTGACTGTATCACGTTCAGGGATACGGGAGCCATAGAGGTACAAAGGATCATCGGAGATGACAGAGCGTCTAGTGAAAGTAATTTGGTGAGTTTTGGTACTGGAAAATTTAAACCCATGTGTGGTGGCCCAATTGGTAAACGGTCGACCGCACGTTGAAGAGAAACCGTAATGAGGTGACAGTCAGCGCCTGCACATGCAATAGCGAAGTCATCAACATAGAGTGATGACCAAATATTGGATGGAAGACTAGAGGCCAAATCATTTATAGCAAGGAGAAAAAGTGTTGTGCTCAGAACACATCCCTGGGGGACACCTTCAGCTTGGATAAAGTCCGGAGAGAGCACATTATTAACCCGAACACGGAAATGTCTGTCAGTTAAAAAGTTCTTAAGGAAGGATGGTAGATTGCCTGGAAGGCCTAAGGAGTGGGCTTGGGCCAAAATATTATACCTCCAAGTTGTGTCATATGCCTTCTCAAGGTCAAAAAAATATGGCAATAACTGAGTGGTTATTCACAAAGGCATTACGAACATAAGTATCCAAGCATAGTAAGGGGTCTATGGTAGAACGGCCCTTACGAAAGCCATATTGACGAGTGGAGAGACTGTTGTGTCTCTAAATACCATACTAAACGTCTATTTACCAGGCGTTCCATCACTTTGCAAACTGCACTGGTAAGAGCAATGGGACGATAGTGGGAGGCTTCATGTCCCGTAGTACCCGGTTTGCAGAAAGGGAGAACAATGGCAGATTTCCACAGCTGTGGAAGAACTCCCTGTGACCAAATAAGATTGAAAAGGCATAATAGGACTGCAAGGGCTGACTGATGTAAATGTTGTAGCATATGAATATGAATGTCGTCGGGCCCAGCTGCCGACGATCGGAAAGCTGAGTGTGTTGCCTCCAGTTCCTAAAGTGTAAAAGGCACATTATACTGTTCTTCTCTGAGAAGAAAAGTCCAAGGGTGCTAACTCTCTAGCAGACTTTGAGGAAAGAAACGAGGGGCATAAATGG